ACAGGCAGCCCTGCAGCCACCAAGGTGAGAGCAGGACGGCAGGGTGTGTTCCACAAGTTCTGCAGCCACAGAGGATCGCACAGAGCAGACCCTGAGCTGGAACTGCAGCTCACAGAGCAGAGCCTGTGGTCCAGCAGAGATCTGGGGGAGCTGCTGCCTGCAGCAGAACTGTGCCAGACCAGCTCTCCACCTCTGAGAGATGGAGCTATGTACTGGAGAAGCATTTGGAGAGCTGTAGCCTCCTGGGAAGGACAGCAAAGGACTAGGGGCAGAATGGCCACAGAGAAGCAGCACAGATGAAGCTGACCACTGCCATGTTCCTCACTCCCTTGCCCTGCTTGAGGAGCAGACAGAAGACAACGGATACAGGGGGAAGGTGGTTTTAGTTTGCCTTTAGTTCTCATTGCTCTAGTTTGTTATTAACTGGCAATAAATGTATCCTTTCTGTGATGAACCCGTTTTGTCCACGACAATAATTGTCGAGCAAGCTCCCCTTCCTTATCTCAGCACACAAACTCTTTTAGTTCTCCCCTTGTTCTACTGTTGTTGAGGTGGAGTGAGAGCAGCTGGCTACCCAGCAGTGTTAAACCACAACAGCAACATGCCTGTTCAATGCCAAGTAGCTATACGGAAAGGAAAAAACACAAAAAACAAACAAAAGCCAGCAGTTTTTAAGAAGAGAGTGAAACGAACTACATCTCTTCTACTGTACAAATCTACCATTTCCTTTGGTCTCGAATGCTGCATGCAGCCTTGTTTCATACACCACAAACAGGTTTCAGAAGAAATGGAAAAGACATGGGGAGTTACAACTAGTTTGGAATGAAAAAGTAGACAGATTGTTTCAATTGATGAAGTCTTAACAGAAGGTGCATATGATTCAGTCACATAAAACCAACTGCCAGAGAGAAAGTTATATAGAGATTACTGGTCCACTGTCTCTGGTGTTTAAAGAACAAAAACAAGCATAAAACAGAGGGCCTCAGTCTAGCAAGTCTTCAAAACCTTCTTAGGTATGACCAGAAGAACACTTCTGGAATTCTGACATGAAAAGGGCAACAACTACACTTAAATCAGCTCAAAAATTGACCAAATCCACATGCAAAACACGTCTACTTTATGTGATTATACGCACATCCTCAGCACAGGGAAGGGTGATGGAAGACATCAGTACATACTTCCCTGTTCTGACATATGCATGAAGGCATCTGGCACAGGGTGCCCCTTCATATATTTAAAGGGCTGGAATGGGCTGTCCAGAAAGTGGTGGAGACCCTAAGCCTAGAGGTGCTTCAGATGTGCGGACCTGGCACTAAGAGGCAGGTTAGTGAGGAGCTCAGCAGCCAGGCTGACAGCTGGACCTGATGATCCCAAAGGTTTTCTTCCAGCCTGCACAACTCAACAATTATAAGGAAAGTTACAATGGATGTCCGTAGTGCTGCACCAACCAAGTTCTACAGAACAAAGCGAGCTTGCTTGTAGCTAAGCTTATGATAAGAAATGCAGACATCCAGGAAAACACAGGACACCAATGTCCTACAAAGACAGAGGAAAAAGCTGCATTTCCATCACAGAAAAGCACGTTCTCACCACCTCTTTTGTTTGTGCCAGGTAGCTCTCACCTCGGCTTTTCTGACAGACATGCAACCGATGTAAAATTTCAGCCTCCATTAAAAAGGATGGGTGCTTTGTGAAAAACATCTCTGTGCCTAAAGAACACGTGAAGGCATCAATACCTCACATTTCATTTGGCTCTTTGCAGGAGGGAAATGCTCAGAATGCTGCCTGTTTGCTCTGAGGAGTGAAAGAGGCAGCAGTGTCATTCACCAGGTCACAAAACCGTCTCGAGAACAAATTCACGTGCGAAAGTCTATCCTCAGACAAAGAAGAAGTAAAAAGAACAGAATTAAGAAGGAAAAACGTCACGTGACAAACAGACAGATAATTCAGATTCCTGTGTTTGCTGCTTCCTACTGCATCTTGAGAAACACCCACATGACTTATGACGTAACTGCTGAGATTCACTCAAACCACAGAAGCCATTTCAATTTTCTGGCTCTTCTATGTTGTAATTGCTCTTTAAGAACCCAAACTTTGGACATTTCCACATAGCTAAGGCAATTACTCTTACAAATCAAAATACCAACCATGTTCACACGAGCACCTTCTCTCGCTACAGTTTTGAACCTGCACTCCAAACAGAAGTCATGCATACTCACTATATGTTTAGCGTTCATTCACTCCATAGGCCAATTAAATCAGACAGCAGTACTGCAACACCCTTCTCCCACCACGAACTGCAGCTTTTCCACCAACAAGAACACCTGGTAGCATTACATACCACCATCGCTGCTTTCAGATTTCTTCTCCTTCCCTTCCCAGCCTTATGCAGCCTCCAATGCAGAAAGAAAGCAACACCAAACTGCAGCTTAACAGCTACAAAAAAACACTCTACCCAAAGCAATGCAAACTTACTGCGCTCTTATTATTATTTATTATTTATTCTGTAGATTACAGAAGTTTCTGTGATTCTAGTAGAGAAGTAACTGCAGTAAGAGAAAAATGATATCTTTTCCTCCTTTTCACCAACCTGATATTATTTACACAATCTTCATGAGCTTCAGAGAGAGTTTTGATGTGCTTTGAAGATATTGGGTCAAAAAGCAGCACTTCAGTCTGTTCACAAGCAACAGTGAGCACAGACCTGCAGGGGAGAACAAAACATTAACACTTGCATCTGACGAACGAACACAGCGCCCGCACACGCACAGCAAACTTCCAGATCTAAGATTCACGGAAACATAACTTCAACATTACTTAGCTTGGCTTCTCTTCACATCACAACAATACTGTAAGGGATCACAGTCAGACACAATACTAATGCACAAAGAAAAGAGAGCTCTCCGACAAAAAGTGTTTTCTAGATACAGCAGTGTTGTTACTGGCCAAAGACAAGAGGAAGGCACAGGCACCAGTCTAGATTTAGCATCAGATCATTAAGAAGTTCACAGTGAGTTCTGACGTCCCAAACACCAGGACGCAGGCACCAGAAACATCAGCCATCCAGTTTGGGAAGGCTGTCTAGCCTGTCCTACAGCACCAATATTTATTTGCTCTATATGTGTTGGAAAAGTCTGATACACCATCACTACAGTGACGGTTAAGCCTGCCCTGCTAAATCAGTGAAGGCAACCTCCAGGAAAGCTAAGATGCTCCCCCAACGGCGCAACAACTCAGATTGTTATGGCTCATGGGGCAGATCTCACTAGTGCCAAACAAACAGCTCACAGGTACAATCCTGGTCCTCAGCTCAGAGCACTGCTTTGTGCCAGCAAGAGAACGGGCAGAGAACAGGAAGGCAGCTCTGCTCACTACAGCCAGCTCTGCTGAGGAAGGCTAGAAAGAAATCCCAAGTGACCAAAGGTCAGAGAAGGTCTGCGACTGCTCTGCAACTGCTGAGTTGAATCGAACCACCACAAAAGCAAACGAGGTCTGAGCTGTTCCAACTGACCTTAAGGCAACTGGTGTTCAGTGCCAGGCTGCTATCTTCTGCCTAACACCACCTGTGGCCTGCTGAGAACGTGCCAGCCAGCCAACAAAAGGCCGAGTCAGGGGAGACATCCCCATGCCACTGCTGGGCTTATTTTCAGACAAGATCTGTGGCTCAGTTCACAGCGCAGCCTCACAAACAGCAGGCGCACAGGGGACAGCAAGAAGGCAGAACTTCTCACGCCAGAAACTTGCATGAAAAATAATGTTAAACTACAGCAGAGGTAACAGATCTCAGGTGCGACCGAGGACACCGCTGAGCTCAATGTGAGATGGAAAGCCTTTCTGCCAAGGAAGCCCACTGTGAAACCGCACAGCAGGCTGCAGTTACACACACTTTCCTGAACAGACCTTTCGGGCTCCCGTGCCTCTCCCATCCCCCGGAGCACCAGAGAAACCTCAGAGAATCACAGAACGGCCAGGGTTGGAAGGGACCTCAAGGATCACGAAGCTCCAATGCCCTGTCACATGCAGGGCCACCAACCTCCCCATCTAATGCTAGACCAGGCTGCCCAGGGCCCCATCCAACACCTCCAGGGATGGACGGGGCATCACAGCCTCTCTGGGCAGCTGTTCCAGCACCTCACCACTCTCACAGCACACAACTTCCCCCTGACACCCAACCTCCATCTGCCCTCCCTCAGCTTCAAACCATTTCCCCTTGTCCTGCTGTCATCTCCCCTTTCCAAGAGCTGACTCCCCTCCTGTCTGTAGGTTCCCTTCAGGTATTGATAGGCTGCAATGAGGTCACCCCGCAGCTTCTCTTCTCCAGGCTGAACGAGTCCAGCTCCCTCAGCCTGTCCTCACAGGGGAGGTGCTGCAGCCCCCCGAGACCTCGACCAGGACAGCTCCGTTCCAGAGCCGCCCCAAAGGCCGGCAGAGCAGGAGACCAGCCAAAGGCCGCGCCGCAAGGCGGGACGCGGAGCGCCGGGCCCGGGCGACGGCCGGGGAGCGGGGCGCGGCCCGTACCCGTCCGGAGAGTACTCGAGGTTGAAGACGGCGCCGTGCGTGCGGGTGCTGAGGTACACGGAGTCGGCGGGCTGGATGGAGCCGTACAGCCCGGTCATGGCGCGGAAGCTGTCCCGCGCCGGGTCCACGGCGGCGCTGCGGCCCAGGCAGCGCCCGCGCAGCCAACCGAACAGACCGCCGCCATCCGGCGCCGTCCGCGGGGAGAGGACGGCGGAGGGCGGCCGCATGCCGGGGCCGGGCCCCGGGGCCGCTGTGCCGGCGCGGGACCCCGCCTGGGCCGCCTCCGCGCTCATTTCGCGCCCGGGCCGGGCATCGCCGGGCCGCGCCTCCCGCCTCCCTCCGCCCTCCGCGCCTGCGCCGGCGCCCCCTTCCGGGCCGCGGCGCCCCCTTCTGGCTGCAGCGCGTACCGCACGCGGGTCACCCCGAGCAGGCCGAGGCGCCGGTCTGCGCTGCGGCGCTGAAGAGAAGCGAAGAAGCGAGACTCGTGACCGCCATCGGCATTCGTTGCTTTTATATACGTTCGAAACAACGCGAGGGAACCGTGCCGCAAGGCAGCCTCAGGCGCCGTCCCTGCCCGCCTCGCGGGGCGTCCGGCCCATGTTGTAGAACTCCTCGTTGGGGCGCAAATCGACAAAATGGGCGATGCGATTGGACATGGCAAAAAAGGCGGTGATGGTGGCGATGTCCCACGCGTCTTCGCGGTCAAATCCGTGCGCTTCCAGCTTCTGGAAGTGCTCCTCTGTGATGTTATCTGCACGGCAGACTGCGAGGGCGAACTCCAACATCGCCAGGTCCCGGCTGCTCAGGTCCGCCAGCTCCCAGTTGACCACGACCTGAGAGGAGGCAGAGCACAGTGAAATGGGAGAATGCGGTGCTGCGATGGCGGCATGCCAGTGTCAGTCCCTCCGTGGGCATCGGGGAGAATTTCTTTTCCGAAGGAGCGGTCAGCTGTCAGAAGGGTGATCCCAGGACGTGCTGGAGTCGGCACCGTCCCCAGACGTGCTCAGGAACTGCGGCACTGATGGATGGTGGGGATGGGCTGGCAGCTGGACTCTGTGATCTTAGTGGCCTTTTCCGACCCTAATAATTCTGTGATGCTGTGATTCTCTTTGCTCTCGCTGGGAGCCACACAGACTTAATGGTCACAGCTTAAGGCGAGGAGAGATACGTTTGAGAACATCATCCCTACTCCCCAAAAGAACAGTGCTCCACTGACCTGGTCAGCCAGCGTCGGCTGCTTGGAATATATCCGATGAAGCGCCCCATGTGCGACCACGCAGTAGGGACATCTGTTCACAGCACTTGTGGCCACAATGATGAGCTCCTTGTCCGCTTTGCTGAGTCGCCCTACAGAGACAGAAAAGGATTTAGCTCACTCTGTTAGCAAAAACATCCATGGCAGCAAGTACTGCTGGGGCAACACGGAAGACAGGTCTCTGGGGACAGGCAGCAGGCACTATGGCCAGAGTTCCTTAAAGCACACGAGGAGACTTCAACCACAGATCCAGAGAATCAGTTAACTTGGATCGCTGTTTGGGAGGCATCTCATTAGGATAAGGAACACATTGAGGTAATAATAACTCTCCTGCAATGTTCTAAAATCACGTTTCAAGCAAGAAAACGCTGCAGCTTTTGAAGGCAGAGAAGGAAGCACAGAGGAGCAATGAGGTACCCTAGGACTGTGCCTCTGAGAACTTCTAGTGACCACCACACAGATGAAACACAACTTTTTAAGTGATTCTCCAAAGAATCTCTGGAGAAGATGGCTGTGCTTTGTTATACTTGGAATCAGTACTAATCATTTTCACAAACAGCTTCACAACAAGACTGTCCACAGCACCTGAGGAACTTACCTTACCTCGATGTCAGCTCTTATACTCTGCCTTTTTATCAGATCATTAGAAACAGTATTTCTTGAAACCAGAGTTCACACTGAAGGACAAATATTTGCACAGGACAAGTATCTTCCATGACAGTGAAAAATACTACTAAAACCTTTTAGGGGAAGAGAACTTCCTGCTCTGAAACAGTTCAGTTATAGAAAGTGGCAACTCCTGGCAACTACTTCAGGGTAAGTGCTGAAAAGGGTGTGATGCCAGGTAGTTCCATGTGACTCTCCAGAGTCAGTCAAAAAGCAGCACAGGAATGAGAGCAGAAAAAAGACCCTTGTATAGCTTGGGCTTCACTTCAGCAGTGGAAGCAGAGCAGAAACCTTCATGCATAAACTGTGCATATCACAGTGAGAGAAACAAAAAGTTGCACTTTGCTGCCCACAAGGACTCTCCCTGCAAGCTCTCATCTACTTTAAGGCTAAGGAGCAGTCTGCTCAGCAGCTTGTTTTACAGAACGCAGATCTTACTGATGTAAGACCCTTAGAACACAAGCAATGAGAACCAGCTGCTCAGTGACCCACAGCACAGGAAGCAAGAGGGAGGAACAAGCAGTCCTCAAATGTTTTCTGAAAGGCTCAAACACTGTGCAGCATTCCCTGCATGAAGCCTTCCCCAGATGCACTGCTGCAACCTCACTCCCTCCCATACTCGAGGGACACCTGGAGGCCACCTGAATCACAGAATGATAGAATTGCTCAGGCTGGAAAAGACCTTCGAGATTATCCAGTCCAACCACAACCCAACCATCCTACCCTAACAACCCTCTGCTAAATCATGTCCCTGAGCACCACATCCAAATGGATTTTAAACACATCCAGGGATGGTGACTCAAGCACCAAGCCCATTCCAGTGCTTACCAACCCTTTCTGTAAAGAAGAATCTCCTCATATCCAACCTAAACTTCCCTGGTGCAACTTGAGGCCATTTCACCTGTCACTAGTAAGAAGAGACTAACTTTGCTCTGCAGTAAGTACGCTTCAGATGCTGGAAGAGAGCAATAAGGTCTCCCCTCAGCTTGCTCTTCCCCAGACTGAACATCCCCAGTTCCGTCAGTTGCTAAAGACCTGCTGTACAGATGTCCATGTATATGAAAGCAGAACAGTCTTCTTTCTGTGTCTGCAGGATACAGAGAACTGCATTTGGAATCATATCCACAGCAGAGCCTGTCAGGGCTCAGCAAGCATACCCTCTAGCGACTTTTGCATCTGGCTCATGGCGAGCTCGCAGGTAAGGTTTATCATGAAGAAAGAGCTGGAGGAAGCCTGAGCAATAGCTTTGGAACACCTCCCCTCCCCCAGGGAGCTGTCTCTGTGTTAGGGCCTTAGCCCAAGCTATACGGCTGCAGTGCCTGGCTGTGTAACCATGCTGATGTGGATCCTGGACCAGACACTAGGCCTTACTAGGAAATCTGGACTGTTGGCAGAGCATGCTCACCACTGGCACACCTACTGTGTCACTTTGCTCAAGCGGTGTGAAATTGCAGCATTATTCCTGATGCCTGTGCCTGCCCTCAGCTCCTGACCCACTTTCCCTCAGGAAGCAGCCTGTCCTTCCTTTGTTGTGACGCAGAGCACAGTGTCATGAGGTAGCTCAGCTATTCTCATGGGCTGCTTCTTAACTACGAGCTGTGAGCTGGGATAAGCAATGGTGAGGAAATAAACCTGAGAATGTCAGAGAAGTTGGTTCCAGCATTTTTTACATCTATAGAGGAAAGGGCAGTTTTGGGGTGATTGTATATGGTTTACCTGTCTCTTTGTTCATGATGACATTGTAATAAGCAAAAAAAGCTCTGAATTCAGCAGGTCGGTGAGACATGGCTTTGAACACGTTGGGCAGAAATCCAGTCTGTTCAAGGAAAAGGAGAAACCAGTCAAGAGTTGCAACTTAACATGCAGCACAGCAGGCCACATTCACACATTAGGCTTAGAGAACAAGTAGTTTGCCCTGCAGTCCTAGGGAATCTCCACAGACCCAGTCTCCTTGGGCTTTGAGCCTATTTGTACACATGACTAAAAATCATGCAATAATATTGTCCTTAATTAAGCACTGCTGCAGTTTCTTGCAGCCCTGATCACTTCAGCCGTGCCAGCAATGACCACAGTCATACAGCCCTCAGGCATCATGACCAAATCCTTTCCAAACCGAAAGATTGTAATCTGCTCCAACTCTGCACAACAGCTGCTACGACCCTTTGGCTAACAGTTCCTGGAGCTCTCCTCTTCCTTTCATGTTTACAGGATGTGAGACAGTCAACCCAAGCCAAACAGCATGCTGTCTGAGGTACAAGCACACCCTGCAGGTGTGTGCTGGCACAGTGCTGTTGCACTCAGTGCAGGATTTCAGCCATCCTGATGGCCAGGCATGCGAGATTCCACTGCAATTCTGCAAATTCCACTTTTGTTGTGATTACTCCATTTGTCCGCAGGCCCTGCCAGCCTATATGCTGCTGTTTGGAAGGTGTTCTGAAAAGACAGCCTAGCTCAAGTGTAACAGACTCCTCCAGCAGTCTCCTCTCACGAACAAGAGCCAGTACATTCCTCCTGCCTCACACCTGTGCTAGTTATTAATTAACTATGGGGAGGCTCCTTCCCTTTAATCCATGGCTCAATGGTTTGTCTAGGAACCTCCTGGCAGCACTGTTTGGAATCCCAAGTCTTCTGTGCTGATTTGATCCCATCCACTGCTCTGTTCTGAACCTTCACTGCATCTGAAATCAGTGCTCACTCTTCCTCACTACACTGTATTTGTCTTTTGCTCATATGCAAACTTCCCTGAGATTGCTGCAATGCAACAAAGCTAAGACATCTAAGTATCCAAGCGGCCCAGCACTGGTCTCTGACAATGTATGTCAGTGGATGTCTGCCACTGACAAAATTTTGCACGAGAGCTTTTTACCTTCACTTCCACTTCCTCCATGAGCTCCACGATATCATACGGCATGTCCTTCTTATTTGGCACTGGGTATCGCCCAATAGGTCTGACAGAGCTGTCATCCTTGGTGCTGTACGCATGGCGCTGGGCAGCCACGGGGGGCCTTCTCAGGAGTCCCGCGGAGGCCAGGAAAGGAAGATGCTGCTGGGAGAGGAGGGGGGAAAGTCTGTTATGCGGAAGGACATCCATCATCCTGGGGGTTGGGGAAGACTGTTTCTCAGGTGCTGTGGCAGGACTTGCGGGTGCCCGCATCCCTCTGTGCTCTGCTGGCAGGGCAGCTGGCACACGGGAAAGAAAACCCAGCCTTGCTTCTGGCCTAGCACTGTGCTACGGGGGCAGACACCAGGCCTGCATGAGCCTCGCCTTCCTGCATGCCCATGTCAGAGGGTGGACTGGGCTGCATGCAGTCCTGGCTGATTGCAGGCCTTCGTTCTGCACCACCACTGAACCTGAACCCTGAGAAATTTTCCTTCTGCGGTGGCTGACAGCACTACAGGATTCAGGATTATTTTTTTTTCTTCTCTGATACATCTCACTCCAAGAAAGCTAGTCTCCCTCCTGCAGGAGGGGAAGCGGCTCCAGATTCGGGCCACCGAAGTAAAGCAAATACCACTGTCACACTGAAGCCATGGGGAAGAAAGGCTCGGTGCTCACACGAGCTGTCCGTGCAGACACGCGGCTATGTTTGATGGCTACCAGCCCTGCCGGCCGCGCAGCTGCGGATGCAGTTGGTTGCCAGCCCAGGGCCGTTCCAGAAACGTCCGTGTCCTGCCACAGCGTCAATGAGTAACGGGGAGAACCGAAGAGCGGAGCGAGGTCAGCGTCCGTGCGCGCAACGGGACCGCAGCACGGGAGAACCGACCAGCATGAAAGCACTAAGCAGGAAGGCAACACAGCCGAACCAAAGCACGGCGGGGCGACGGCGCGGGGCCGGAGGGCTTTTCCTGCGCACCGAGCAGTGCCGGGGCTTTGCAGCACAGCCTGCGGGAGGCGGCCCACAGCTGCACACATACACACACAAAGCACGGCCCCGCGGCGGGGTCGGTCGGTCGGTCTGTCAGTCGGTCGGTTCCCGTACTCACGGGCAGGCCGCGCAGCAGCCGGGAGCCGCTCATGGCTGTCCTCCGTCGCCGCCGCGGAGCGCAGCTGGGGGCCGAGCCGGGAGGCTGAGCCGAGCCGGCCCCGCCCCGTCCTGCCCCGTCCCGCCCCGCGGCGGCGATGGAGGGCGGTAGCGCGACAGCCGAAGCCGCGCCGGTGGAGCTGGAAGCGGAGATGGAGGCGGCTCGCGAGGCGCTCGCGCTGCTGCGGTTCGGGCCGACGGGGTTCGGCGAGGCTCCGTGCTCGGTGCGTGCGGGGCGGGGCGGAGCAGAGCGGGGGCCGCCGCGACGTCCCCGAGGCTGACCGTGCCGCCCTGCAGAGGAACGTCCTGCGGAAGCGGAGGCGCTGGGAGCGCGTGTTGGCGGCACGGCGGCGGCGGCGGCCGCAGGAGCGGGAGCGGAACAGAGCGCGGCGACCCGAGGGCCGAGGTGGGCTGGCGCGGGGTGCGAGGCCGGGCCGGGCAGGGTCTGGCGGGGCAGGGCCGAGCAGGGCAGGGCCGAGCAGGGCAGGGCCGGGCCGGGCTGCCCTCCGCGCTGTGCCCCGCAGGAGCCGCCCGGCAGCGTGTCAGGGCCCTGGCGGAGGAGCGGCTCCTGGATGCCCGCGCGGCGGGCCCGCGGCTGTGCGTGGATCTCGGCGTGGCCGACCGCATGACGCCCAAGGTAAGTGCCGGCCCGCCGCTCGGGAGCCCCGCTGCGCCCCGGGGCCGCCGTGACGCGGCGCTCCGCTCTGTCGGAAGGAGACGAGCCGGCTGGCAGCGCAGATCCGCCGGCTGTACGGCGCTAACAGGCGGGCCGAGCGGCCCTTCTGGCTCTGCCTGACCGAATTGGTGCCGGGGTCGCCCATCCACCGCGAGTGCCTCCGCATGAACGACGGCTTCTCCGGATACCTGGTAAGGGCGCTGGCACGGCGGGGGGGCAGAGGGGGGCTCGGCGATGGCTCTTCTCCAGCCTTAATGACTGCGAGCTTCCTGAGTCTCTCAGGTGTTGCAGTCATATTTAAAAGGAGAAAGATACACCATAACTACCTAAAAGCACATCTATAGATTTTCACGAGGAGAGAATTTAATGGTTCTTAAGCTATTTATTCTCAATGAAAAAAAAAAAAAAGGCATCTCGGTTCCATTATTCTGCCTTTAGCTGTAAGCAATGAACACCCAAATCAGTGCTGTTGGTTCTGGAGCGCTTCTGTCTGGGCTGGGGCGGGTGGCAGATGGACTGTGGCTCATGGGGCTTTTCTCACTGTGCTGTGTTTTTCAGATGGATACAACTCAAGAAAGCTACCTGGATCTGTTCCCTTTGGATGCAATTGTTTATCTCACTCCTGACTCTGAGAATGGTAAGTGTTTCACTTGCCTGAAGGGAATGGAGGCAAAGATTGATCCTCTAGACGTTATTTTTAGGAGTTTCTCATGCATCACGTGGTTCAGTTCCAATCATTCCCTTTCTCTCACTACCCAAGGAAGGCTTCTCTTAGACCTGGTGCTCAGCGTACTCCTGCATCAGTCTGTTCTGGGAAGATATGAGGTTTTGTGTGAGGGCTGCATCCATCTGCAGCAAACACAATGCAAAAACTCTCTAGATGCCTGCAGATTGTTATCCTGCTGGCAGAGAAGTGGAGATGTGGTGGTTGTGTATGTGGTGTGAAGGGCATCTTTCTTTGAAATGATGTGATGTCTGCGCCGCTCCTTTTATTGGTTCATTTGCTGCTGTAATTGACTTTCTCCTTTTTCTCCATTTTTAACCTGGCCACGTGTTTGTGGGGACACTGATCCTTTTCTTGGTTTAAGGGTCAGCTCTGATAAGGATCTGGCAGAGGTGGGGGGAGGTTTCCACAGGTGACCTTGGCGGTGGGGAGGGCCTGTGGGGCAGGTGAGGATTGCACTCACCAGGACAACGATGAAAGGAGCAGTGCATTGCCTCTAGAGCTGCATCTGCACTCTGCTTCCAGCCCACATCTGCTCTTGCCTTGTCACACTGCCAGCAGATTCAGGCAGATGCTGCTGCCTTAGAAGCCTCAGCTTCCTGCAGGCAGGGTGAAGGGTGACGGCAGCTTGGGCTTCCCTGTGTAAGATGGGCCTTTCCTGAAGAATGGTGCAGTGCATGATTTTACTGTTGCAAGAGCATGTGCTTATTTTCTTCTAGTCCTTGAAGATATTGATCCCAAAAAAGTGTACGTCCTCGGAGGCCTGGTGGATGAAAGTATACATAAGGTGGGTTAAAAGCTGTTGAAACCTGAAGGTCTGGTCTGCCTCACTCTTGACAGAGCAGAGACATCCGAGTGGCAGCAGTCACAGTTGCTGCTTGGAACCATTGCTGTTGTGTCACTATCCATTTTCCCACAGAACCCCAAGGTTCTGCTTGGCTCAGCACCAGGCTGAGGCCAGAATGGTCTGGTGAAATCAACCCTCCTACAGTTCCCAGGCTCACAGCTGCATGTTCCACAAGTGATGTGCATGCTATGGATTTGCATCTACACCAGCACATCATCATGGGCAACAGACAGGAGGAGCTGGAGGCCATTCTGTGGCAGGCAAACTATGATTTAGTTGCCATTACAGAAACAGGGTGAGATCACTCCCACAACTGGAGTGCTGCAGTGAATGGCTGTAAGCTCTTCAGAAGGGACAGGCAAGGAAGGGTGGGGGCAGCGGTGTGGCTCTCTGTGTTGGAGAGCTCTTTGATGTTGAGCTGGGGGCTGGAGATGGTAGGATTGAGTCCCAGTGGGTAAGGATCAAGGGAAGGGCCAACAAGGCGGACATCCTGGTGGGGGTCTGTTACTGACCACCTAACCAGCATGAAGAGACTTGAGGCGTTCTGCAGACGGCTGACAGAAGTTGCGTGGTCGCCAGCCCTTGTTCTCATGGGGGACTTCACCTTCCCTGGTACATGCTGGAAATAAAACACAATGTGGAAGAAGCTGTCTGGGAGGTTTCTAGAGTGTGTGGGAGATGATAACTTCCTTTTGAAGCTGGTGAGAGAACCTATCAGAGGAGATGTCCCGCTAGACCTGCTATTCAGAAACAAAGAAGGACCGGTGGGGAGATGTGGAGGTCAGGAGCTGTCTTGGACAGAGGGAGGGTTAAGGTTAAGGTGACCATGAAATGGTAGAGTTACTGATGGTGGAGCCAAGAGAGGGGACAGCAGAACTGCTGCCTTGGACTTCTGGAGGGCAGACTTGAATGTTCGGGACATTATAGGGAGAGTTCATTGGATTCAGCCCTGGAGGATAGAGGGGTCCAGGAAGGCTGAAAGCTCCTCAAGGACAAAGTCTTTAAAGGAGCAGGCTGTCCTGCTGTGCTGAGAGACGAGCTGGCAGGGAAGACAGGTGTGGATGAACAGGGAGTTTTTCCTGAGGCTCCAGGAGAAAAAGAATCTTCCTCCTGTGGAAGAAGGAATGGACGGACACCTTGGGGAGAGTACAGAGAAGTTTTAAGGAAATGCAGGGAGAAAATCAGAAAGGCAGAAGCTCAGCTTGAACTCAACTTGGCCATTGGGATAAAAGAGAACAAAAATCTTTTTTTTGCAAGTATGTTAACTGTAAGAGGAGGACCAAGGAGAATCTCCATCCTTTACTGGGTGTGGAGGGGAGTGTGAGCGCTGAGGATAAGGAAGAGGCTGAGGTTCTCAGTGCCTTTGCATCTGTCCATTCTCCTTGGGGTACTCTACCCCCTATCCTGGAAGTCTTGCGTGGTGAGCAGAGCAAACCCCCACAGTTCGGGAGGAAACAGTGACCTACTACTCCACCTGGCCCCATGGACACTGCCACAAGTCCATGGGGCCGGATGGGATCCACCCAGGGGTGCTGAGGGTGCCAGTGGAGGTGATTGCCGTGCTACTTTCCATCATCTGCCAGTCAGCTGGAGAGGTCCCAGAGGGTTGGAGGCTTGCCAGTGTGACTCCCATCTACAGGAAGGGTCATGAGGTGGATACAGGGAACTACAGGCCTGACCTCAGTGCCAGGGAAGGTTATGGAGGAGATTGTCTTGAGGGAGATCACACAGTGTGTGTGGGACGACCGGGGGGTCAGGCCCAGCCAGCATGGGCTCATGAAAGGCAGATCCTTCTTGGCCAACCCGATCTCCTACAATCAAGCGGCCCACCTGGTGGGTGAGGGGTCTGCATAGACTACAGCAAAGCCTTTGGCACTGTCTGCCACAGCATTCTCCTGCAGAAGCTGGCAGCCCGTGGCTTGGACAGGTGCACTCGTGGTTGGGTAAGGAGCTGGCTGTAGGGCTGGGCCCAGAGAGTGGTGGTGAATGGAGCGCCATCCAGTGTCCTGTGACCAGTGGTGTTCCCCAGGGGCTGTACTGGGGCCTGCTCAGCACCTTTAGCGATGGCCTGGATGAGGGCACTGAGTTCATCCTCAGTTTGCAGGTAACACCCAGCTGCAAGGAAGTGTTGATCTGCTTGGGGGCAGGCAGGCCCTCCAGAGGGATCTGGACAGGATGGATCACTGGGATGAGGCCAGTGGGGTGAAGTTCAACAAGACCAAATGCCAGGACCTGTGCTTTGGCCACAGCAAGCCCAGTGCTACAGGCTTGGGGCAAAGTGGCTGGCAAGCTGCACAGAGGAGAATGATCTGCGTACTTTAGCTGGCATTTAGCTGAACATGAGCCAGCAGTGTGCCCAGGTGGTCAAGAAGGCCAATGACATCCTGGCTTGTACTAGAAGTAGTGCAGCCAGCAGGAGCAGGAGGGATCAGCCCCCTGTACTTAGCCCTATCGAGACCCCACCTCAAGTGCTGTGTGTTCAGTGTTGGGCCCCTCACTGCAAGAAGGACCTTGAGGCCCTGGAGCTTGGCCAGAGAAGGGCAATGGAGATGTGAGGGGTCTTATGGGGAGCAGCTGAGGGAGCTGGGATTGTTCAGTCTGGAGAAGAGGAGGCTCAGGGGAGACTTGATCGCTCTACAGCTTCCTGAAGGGAGGTTGTGGTGAGTGGGGGTTAGCCTCTATTCCTATGGAACTAGTGATAAGATGAGAGGTGATGGCCTGAAGTTGCACCAGTGGAGGTGCAGGTTGGACACTAGGAAATAATTCTCCAGGAGAGCA